GAGTGTGCAAATGCTTTTTAATTGATTAAAGAGATGATAATGTCGAGTGAGGTTCTCATGCAATACGATCCTGATTTACCTTTGAAAATTACGACTGATGCGTCACCACATGGTGTATGTGGCGAGTATGTGGTTGGGCATGTCATGCCTCACATTTACTTAAATCCTTTTAAATCCTAAAATTTCCACTGTATCGTTTTGAAACTTCGAGTAGCTGAAGTTATGGGTTCATAAGAAAAGATGATGGTATGGTGATAGTGTTATGTAAATTATATTTTAAATTACTTGGACGTAAACGTCAATTTTGCATATTTTTGGCGATTTTTTTTTTCCTAATTTCTACTAAATTAATGACAACTGAATTGAGATATATTCTAAAAAGCAGTATTATGCTCCTCATTCACTAATATTTAAAGTCCTGCCTTTATAAAAGTGCAAATTTGATTTTATAAAAGTTTTAAGTTTTCATTGTTTTATTTAATCATATGATAAATCTTATGACAAAGAGTTGATTTTATCTTTACTAGAACCAAAAGGACGCGCGTTGCGCGCCCACTTCTGGTCCTTTCCCACAACAAAAACCTTAATATAACCTTAAATTAAATCTTAATTAAATAAAAACATATGTTTATATTTTAAAAATTATTTCTCTGTTAATAAGATTGTTTAAAAGTTTTTTAATTTTTTAAATGTAAGTTTGACAAATTAAATTTTCTAAAAAAAATTACACGTTAATGCCTATAAAAAATTCTCATTCTGGAGAAAATCACCTTTAAAATAAGCATAACATCATTAAAAAGCATTCAGTATTTTAGAAGTTATTAAAATTTTTGTAAAACATTGAAAATTATCATTTTTTAAAAATGTCTAAATAAAATAGTAATCAAATGACTTCTAAAAGATCTTGATCAATTCAAAATTTAAACATCTTTTAAAACTTAAAAGATACAACAATTTTAGTTTCCGTACGTGATACATTTTAAAATGTTTTTCATTCTCCTGAAAATGGGTATGGTCTCTAAATTTTAACTGGTAGTGTATATTATATTTTTATTAGAGTTTTTCTTATGTTTAATATTGAAATAATATTTATATATATATATATATATATATATATATATACTACAAAACTAATTGTGTTCGTAATATGGAAATTACAAAGTAAAAACGCTACAGATATTTTCCATCAGTTTATTATATTTTTACTTATATTATGGCCAAAATAAATGAAACCGGACACTTGAAAAATTATGGCAAAACTCCAAGGATTCATTTAAAGAAAGAAAAATCAGTAACCTTCTATATTATAGAAATTGTGTAGATTTTTCTGCCAAAATACAGGCGAAAATTTTTTTATCACGTCAAGTTTTTGAAAAAAATGGGGTTGAAACCCCTAAAAACAGCGTTTTTGGCACTTTTTGAAAAATTGTGGGGCAAAATCCTGACGTGATAAAAATTTCGCTATTATCAGAAATTAAAGCTTAATTCATGCCCTTTCAAATGAGCCCTCAGCCGATTAATATCCTTCAACCCTTAAAGCAGGGGGTGTGTTTTTGTCCAGGGGTGCAAAAACTTTAAAATACATATACAAAAAAAATTATTTAAGGGATTTTTTAGGGGTTGTGAATTGAGAAAAATTTTGAAGCTATAGGTTTAAGTACACGGCTACCCCTAAAAAACCCTTAAATAATTTTCTTTGTATGTGTATTTTAAAGTTTTTGCACCCCTGGACAAAAACACACCCCCTGCTTTAAGGGTTGAAGGATATTAATCGGCTGAGGGCTCATTTGAAAGGGCATGAATTAAGCTTTAATTTCTGATAATAGCGAAATTTTTATCACGTCAGGTTTTTCTTCCACAATTTTTCAAAAAGTGCCAAAAGCGCTGTTTTTAGGGGTTTCAACCCCATTTTTTTCAAAAACTTGACGTGATGGAGCATTTTGGACTTTCGATTCGTGTCCAGGGCAAAATTTGCCTTCGGAAACACTTTGTCGCTTTCATTATCCCGAAATGATGCAGGCCTGTGTACTTAGAGTTTTGCACATCAATACATGGTAATTTAATTTTCCCAAAATATTCAGAACATTCTTGAATTTGCAATTGTTTATAAGAATTGTTAATAACAATTTTAGATTTTAATTTTTTAACAATCTTTTTATTTTATCATTAAAGTAGGTATAGACATTAAGCTTTATTTAAAAGAAATTACTTTATTATCATTATTTGTTTCAAAGTAATAATAACATGAAAATAAAATGATCCAGAACTTCAACACCAAATTACTTTAATAATAAAATTTTTTTTGAAATTGTTTCACTTATTTTGATCTCTGATAAATGATTTATTACCATTTATTAAATCAATTTTAATTAATTGTACACTATCTGCGAAAATTGTGTAAATACTACATGTTAGTGCTACACAGGAAATGAAAAGTGTTGTTTTAACCTGAATTTGTGTTAAAATAACACGCAACAAATTTTACCCTCGTAGGGTAAAAATGTAGGGGAATCTGGGGCGAAAAGTTAAATTTTGCATAAATGATTTTTTTAGACAATATAATCCGCTTAGATGCAAATATTTATATATCAATATTGTAGGGCAACTTGTCCCCTACAACTTTCAATAAAAAAGTTTCTGATATTTTCTCATACAATACATGTTTTGTCCTTTCTTGAAAATTTTGTTTTTTTTACTTTTCGCCCCATGCTGGGGCGAAATGTTGAATTCTATTTCTAGCCTACTAAAACTATTTTCTGATAGGTGTTAAGTAGAAGATAAGTTAAAGTATTCATAAACAAGTTATTTAGTTAATAAAAGATCTGTGTTTATTGCACAAAAGCTTTAGAACAGTTATAAAGTTAAAAAAAAAAATTTTCAAAAAAAAAAAATTTTGGTTTATTTTACGTGAACGGTCTTGTTTTTTGACAGAGTACTTCCCTAATGTCAAATAAGTCATTTTTAAACAAATAAGCCCAAAAAATCAAAAACAAAAGAAATTTAACAACATGTAAAAATACATTTACCTTTTCGCCCCACCATCTAATTTTGAACTGAAATCAAAAATTTTCTTTTTCTGTTTAAGCAACATAAACTTTTGTATAATAAAAAACTGGGTACTTGTTTAAGATTTATTAAAAAAATATTAAACCATGTAAAGTATTCCTGAAATTATATTAATTTTCTAATAAAACAAGGCAAACTCAAGGACGAGATCAAGCATTTTTTAAATGATTCTAGAAAGTTATTTAAATTTCTTTACAAGAAAAAGAATAGTTATTTTCGTATCAAGGGCGCAAAATAGGTGATTGCGACGATGGCGAAAGGAAGGGACCGAGGGGACACAATTTCGCGCCCGAGGCGAAGCCGAGGGAGCGAAAGTGTCCCCGAGGTCCCGAAATTTCGCCATCGTCGTAATCACCTTTGCGCCCATGATGCTAACATAATTTTTTGTCCTAACTGCACGGAAAGTATGTCATTGAGGGCACGAACGATTAAACGCTCATATTAGTTAAAAATTAAACTCTCTATAAATGTTAACTCTTTGAAGTCTATAATGATACAAGTTTTAATATAGAAATAAGAAAACAATGTATTCTGGAAATATAGTAATTGCCAATTTTTATAACCTAAATATATAACCTAAACCTACCCCTGGGTTGTAATGAGTCACTTTGCGCCCGCTCTAAGTGCTCGAAATGACATACTTTCCGTGCAGGTAGGACAAAAAAATTATTTTATATCATTAAAAAGTAGTATTTTACACAATTTTTAAAAACTTACCTCCTTATCCTTATTTTTAATCACAAAAATTTTTTTCGTCTTATTTTTTTTAATTTTGAAAAGAGAAAAAACATGTTCTTCACTTTGGACTTTTATTTTTCTGTATTATATACTGCAAAAATGTGTTAATAAACTGTAACTACACTGTAAAAAAAGGGAGTTAAATTTTAACTCCCCAGGGGATTCTATAAAAGTCGCACCCATTGGGGAGTTAATGCCAGGGGAGTTAAATAAAGAGAGTTAAAACTTTACACCCAAATGCTAACTCCCCAAGGAAAAAATAACTCGCGCGGGTTTTGAATGAAGGGAGTTAGAAATTAACTTTCTTTTGGAGTTGATTTTTAACTCGAAAAATTTCACTCCCAACTCCCGAGTCCGTTAACTCCCTTAATTTTTTACAGTGTATATATATACTTACTTCAAGTATAAAATAGACTACCAATGCTAAAAAATAAAAAACTGGTAGTCTAAAATAGACTACCAGTAACGCTCCTGTATATAATTTGCTTGAATCTCACTCGCACTCATGCTTACTACTAATTCATAGTTTCTCTCTCTCTCTCTCTCTCTCCTCTCTCTATCTCTGCTCACTGGTCACTCAATAGACTGCCTACTGGTTGAAAGAAACCCTTCAAACAATAGACCAGGTACTCGAGCAGACCTTTCGTTTCTCTTTAAATTATATATATATATATATATATATATATATATATTTCAAATATCTTACTGTCTCCTTCTTTCTAGATACTAAATACCATTATCGGTCTCTGTTTATAACGCAGAAAATCTAACGCTATTGCTTTCTTCCTCTTTCGAAAGTAAATAACATTAGAATGTCTCTCTTTACCTAATTTGCATATCTACTGATTTCATATAAGGATAAATAAATAAATAATTAAGGAAATATATTTTATTACATGCCTTTTTATAATATAATACCAGAAATTAACTTAATATAGCTATATGTAACATTTATAAGCAATTTTACATTTTGGGCATGTCATGCCCACCACATAGTCGGTGTAACAGTTTCCCGCCTCATACTCGCCGGGTTAAACAAGGCTGAGCCCGGATATTCTCAGATAGATCGCGAAGCATTATCTTTGGTGTTCGGGGTTAAAACCTTTCATCAATTTGTTTATGGTAGATTATTCATTCTTGAGACTAATCATAAACCTTTAATTTATATTTTTGGTGATAAAAAAGGAATTCCACAAATGGCGGCATCGCGCGTTCAGCGTTGGGCAGTATTTTTGTCGGGATATAATTATAAAATTAAATATATTGAAGGGAAGAATAATAATGCCAATTGCTTTTCCCGTTTTCCAGTTAAAAACGATAAAAAAGAAATTGATTGCGAAACTAATGAATATTCATATTTAAATTTTGTAACCAATGATATTGAAGTTATCTCAACTGATGTTTTACGTAATAAAATCGATAATGACTGTGAATTAAAGACAGTTAAACGTTTTATTCTGGAGGGATGGCCAAGCAAAGTTTCGGATGATTTAAAAAAATATGCGAGCAAAAATCGAGAATTAACTATTGAAAATGGTTGTGTAATGTGGGGTCATAGAATTGCAATTCCGAGTACGTTGAGAAAAGAGTTACTTGCAGAATTGCATAGTGCTCACATGGGGGTAGTTAAAATGAAAACATTAGCGAGATCTTATATTTGGGGGCCGAATATTGATAAAGATATCGAGTTAATTGGTAAATCGTGCGAATCGTGCTTAAAAAATGCAGATAACCCACCTAAAGCAAATTTGCATTCTTGGGATTGGCCTAATGGACCAAATCACAGAATTCACGCTGATTTTTTGGGTCCAGTTTCGGGCGAAATGTTTTTAATTATTGTTGACGCTTATTCGAAATGGGTTGACGTAAAGTTAATGAAAAATATAACAGCTGAAAATACAATTAGAGCTTTTAAAGAATATTTTTGTACGTGGGGTTTACCGTTCAAACTAGTAACTGATAATGGTCCAACGTTCACTTCATTTGCTTTTCGAGATTTTGTTTTAAAAAATGGTATTCGTCATATTAAAACTCCGCCGTATCATCCAGCTTCTAATGGAGCTGCTGAGAATGCTGTAAGAACTTTTAAAAGTAAATTTGAATTGCTCAGATTAGAAACGGATAGTCAAGATGCATTAGTTAAATATCTTTTTTATTGGCGTTCAACTCCACATTGTTCAACGGGAGTTAGTCCAGCCGAACTTCAATGTAATCGTAAATTTAGAAATAGATTTGATTTGTTAAAAATTGAGGTTAAAGAAACAGTTATTCGTAGTCAAGAATCACAAAAGAAATTTTTTCACGGTAATAGAGCAATTCAGTTTAAAAATAACGAAGTTGTGATGGCGAGAGATTATATGGCGGAAAATTGGCAAAAATCGGAAATTGAGAAACAATTAGGACTGGTTACTTATCAAGTAAGAACAGAAAACAATAAACTTTGGAAACGTCATGTCGACCAGCTCCGACCATGCAATCTTTCGCTTGATCGAAAAGGGAGAGAGACAGAATCTGTCGGTGGGGAGAGAGTTGTTGATATGAATGCTGGAGTGTTGAATAAAAGTTCAATTGATAATAAAGTATTTTCGGAAAAAGGATTCGCCTAGTGAAAATGTAAATATTGAAAATTTAGAAGATGGTAAAAATCATGATTTAAATAAAAAAATAATCAATGATAAATCTGATGTTTGTTTTACTTTGAGGCGATCTACGAGAATAAGAAAGCCGAGAGATGTTCTCAATTTGTGATATTGTTTTTGAATTATGTGTGGAGGAGTGTGATGTATGGGGAATTGTCACTAGTTGTTACCAGAGACCGTTTGTGATTGCGCCTATGGGGCCGTACACATAATACGTCACGCAATTTTTGACCATTTTTAACCCCTCCCTCCCCCTATGTCACACTTCATCACAAATCTTGAACCCCCCCTCCCCCTACGTCACGTCACAAACGTAAATTTCACTGTAAATTTTATACATTGGACAATATATATTATATCTTACACTCTAAATTATTGAATCAGTTAAAAATACCTGATTTAGAAGCAAAAAGTCAGTCACTAATTCAAAAAGTAATATTTTTTTCTGACAATTAGTTAAAAATAACTGATGTTTCAATACAATTTTGTTTCTGATTGATTAAATTAGTTACGTTTAACTACCTACATAGCACCGAAACTTTCCTGAAAATTTACTAAAGATTTACTAGCAAACTTCGAAATATTTAAATGCAAAGTTTAGTGAAAATTGTGTAGGGGAGGGTAGGCTACATTGAACCGGGTATTTTCTAAAGTCCAAGAACTAATTAAATTTTACAAATTTTGATGAGGTTATTATTTGTTAATATAGGATATTAATATATTTCGATGTCAGGTTTCGTGGCAGAAGTGACAGTTTAATTTTATCACGTTGAGATGCCATGCTGATCAAATTTCCTAACCTCAAAATAAATATTATGGCGCAAAATTTTAAAGTTCTACTACAATGTATAATTTCTGAAACCTTAATTGCGCATGACTACTAGCATTTTTCTTATTGGTCAATAGAGCAGACAACTTTTGGAGTCAGGGCTGCCACTCTTGAAACTGAAAATACGCTGTAAATTCGGGTGGTTCAATGATGTCGCACTCACTGTATTCACATGACATTCACAACAAAAATTGTTTATAATAAATTTATGTAAGACTTAAAATTCTTTATCACATCGGAATATTGAAGTTGACACCCTAAGCGACATAAATCACAAGTTTACTAATTTTTAAAACTTCCTATTTCAATAAAAAAAATTCATTATATTTCCACAAAATTTTTTGTTTTGTACGTGAAAAACAGTTTTTTTCGTTTTTCTTTGTAAATAATAAACCTACGTGCTCGAAATTTTTGGACGTAGTCGCTTTCGGTAATACTAAATTATATATTAAATAAGAAAAAATTCCACTCAGTCATTTCTTAGGAAATTAAAGTGGTTCACTGTTGACGCTGGTTCAATGTAGCCTACTCTCCCCTAAAGATTTAAATATCCCACTTCAATAAATGTTTAGCGCGAAACTTTCTTGAAAATTTTCACGAAAGTATAGTCGAAAATGCAATTCAAATGTTCAGGAAAGTTTCAAGCTATATTTTTAAGAAAATTTGACGATAGACATTTATTGGAGTGAGAAATTTAAATCTTTACACAATTTTAAAATGAGGCTCCGGATCTTAAAAGGGCACACGCGCGAACACACGGCAAATAATTTGGCCCCTGGTGATAAAATTTTGAAGTTGCTCAAAATAAATTTTAAATTATTGTTTCTTATACAGAATTTCAAGGCGAAACTTTTTTTTAATAAAAATTTTTTATATAATTTCTCGTTTTCACGTAAATTGAAAAAAACGTGATTTTTTAAGTTAAGAAATTTTAAAGAATTTTTGACTTCAACTCGTGACTACTTCGTTAAATATTAATATTTTTCCACGAAATTTACACACAATATTCTTCAAACTATTCCAAGAGTGAAAAAATATTTGGAAATTTAAAAAAAAATTGTATGTCAAAGTAAATAATTATTTAAATAATTTTGTTGGAAAAATGATTCTCCTATTTTCAATTGAAAAAGTTGAGTTCATTAATATGTTAGGAAGTTTTTTGGAAAATATCTCGCCATTTGATAATAAATTAAAGATAATAGAGCAATTTTAACATCGTCGCGCTCTGCTGTAAAATTGCGGCATGGCGGCACACGTGTAGCATGGCCGCCATTACAAGACCAATGTATATATAGTTAGACATTGTTTACGTTTACAGCAGAGCGCGACAATGTTAAAATTGCTCTATTGTCTTTAATTTATTATCAAATGGCGAGATATTTTCCAAAAAACTTCCTAACATATTAATGAACATTTTTGTCGCTGAAAGTTTTCCAAAAACAAAAATTCGTCACTCAACTTTTTCAATTGAAAATAGAAGAATCATTTTTCCGACAAAATTATTTAAATAATTATTTACCTTGACATACAATTCTTTTTTAAATTTCCAAATATTGTTTCACTCTTGGAATAGTTTGAAGAATATTGTGTGTAAATTTCGTGGAAAAATATTAATATTTAACGAAGTAGTCACGAGTTGAAGTCAAAAATTCTTTAAAATTTCTTAACTAACATATTAACATATTTATTAACATTATTTAACATTATTTAAATTATTATTTTATTATTATTATTATTATTATTATTTTTTATTTTATTATTTTTATTATTTTTATTTTTTATTTTTTTTATTTATTATTTATTTTATTTTTTTTATTTATTATTTTATTTATTTATTTTTATTTAACATTATTTATTTATTTTATTTATTATTTAACATTTATTAACATTATTTATTTATTAACATATTTATTTTTTATTTCTTAACATATTTAGAAAAATTTCGGTGTTTTGTGGATAATTTTTCAGTTATTTTTAACTGATTAAGGCTGCGGTTACACCTCTGTAGGCAGCCTGCCTGCCTGCAGGTTGTCATGGTAACGTACAAGAGTAAGAGAGTCAGTGACTTCAAACTTCTCCCTTACTCTCGTTGCTCCTGCCTGCGCAGGCAGGCAGCCTGCAGAGGTGTAACCGCAGCCTAAGAAGCAAACAGTCAGTCACTGCTGATTGTCAGTTAAAACCATGATTTTTAACTGATTCAAATTAAGAGAATATATTATTTTTCATATTATAAATAATATGCCAATAGATGTTAAACAGGTACATAAAATAGATATTAAATAGTTTAAAGCATTTTTAACTTGTTTTATTTAGAAAAAGTGACATTGTCACATATAATTTCTTATAATCTTTGAATTTAAAAGATTGTGACGTAACACATGAGTTCACCCCCCTCCCCATGTCACACTTAGTCACAATTCTCAGACCCCCTCCCTCCCCCTAGCCGCGTGACGTATTATGTGTACGGCCCTTACCAATTTTTTTGCATAAAACCTTTCCACACCACCTCCAGAATTGATTTTAACTTAAATCAAAATCGCGTATTGGGCCGATTTTTTTAAATTTCCTGTAGGAGTTATGGAGGGGGGAAGAAAAATAAAAAAACTTATTTTTTCGGAAAGTACTTAACCGATTTGAATGGATAAACTACATTTTTAAAAAATCTGGAAAAAATATATATTAACCTTTTGAGGACCAAATGTTTTCTTAAAAAATTGCGATTTTTGATTTTTAAGAAAACTTTTCAGGGAAAGTTATTGAAGTTTTTATTTGAAGACCAGTATCTGTCATACGTTTTTCAGACTATGTGAAAATTATTGTTTCAATATTCAGTTTTGAAAATTAAGAAATTTATGCACGAGTTAATAAAAAAATGTTCATGTTGCCTAAAAGGAACACTGGTCCTCAAAGGGTTAATTGAAGAATGTAAATTTTCAAAGTTACAAGGATATGCAAAGGCTTAAAAATTAATTTTTAAATGAAAGATTAAAGCAATAAATTTAAGCTTAATTAATGAAATTTTTAAATTTTTTAGAACAAATTTATATTCTATAACTTTTCATTTAAATATAAATAGATTTTAGAAAATTCTTTGTCAAATTAATTTATTAAAAAAATTTGCTATTACGAATAACAATAATGTCAAATAATTAACGAATAATTACATTCGAGGGGGTAATTACTGGTTAAAATGGTGTACACTCTAATACACTAAACTTTCCTGCTATTACGCGTATTATCTAATATTATAGGGTATTACAGAACTATTACAGGGTAATACTGATTATTACAGAATATTACCTCTATATTATGTGGTATTACACTGACGTAATAATGCTCTATTACACGAAGGAGCGTATGCGCTAATACACAAGTAAATACCCCTTCGATAACATTACACCATTAAAACATTTATGAGACTTTTATATATAATAATATTGTTTAAATATAGTCACCAGAAGAATAATAAAAATGAAGAAAATTTAAAGATAGAGTAAAAAATGCTACTAATAATAGTAGTATAATAGAAATAAAAAAGCAATTTGTTGTCAATAATTATTATATATGTATTTTTTATAAATTATTATGAATTAATGTTAATGAACATAGTCAAGGTTAGCCCACTGTCAAGGTAGGTCCATCGTCAGAAACAAGTTACATTTGACCTAAATTTAGGTCAATTTTAAAGACAGTTTTCACCTACAGGTCAAAATTTAGGTCAATTTTAAGGGCAGATTCTACCTACAGGTAAAAAATTGACAAACTAATCCCTCTGCCCTCAAAATTTAAGTCAATTTTAAAAGTAGTTATGACTTAAAGTCAAAAATTGACAAACTTATCGCTCTGCCTTCAAAAAGTTCAATTTCAGGTCAGTTTTGACCTGAGCGTTAAAAATTGACATATAATTCCCTATGCCCGTAAAATTTATGTGAATTTTAAGGGCAGATTTAACCTAAAGGTCAAAAATTGACAAACTAATCCCTCTGCCTTCAAAATGTAGGTCAATTTTAAGGGCAGTTTTGACATAAACGTCAAAAATTCACAAACGTCTATTATTTTACGTCGAATTCTTTAGGTAATTTGGCATTTTCTTTTGCTTATAGGTTGGTTGCCAGATTGGGCTACAAAGCGCGATTTG